CCCTTCTCTCTTTTTCAGCCACCAACTCCAGTCGCTGAGTCTCGCTACCTCTCTCTTCCCATGTACTACTCGTGCCCTGGCCTCTCTGCGGGAAACTCCTCACATTTATCCGCCACAACACTAGCTGTCAATGCCTGTCCCTACTTGCATGGTTAGGAAAGAGGGGAGGGTGGCAGTGTTTCTGCCCTTTTTACATTGCACACCTCCCAAAAGTGCCTCTGTAAGTCTCTTCCCCCTTCAGGAACCATTTCCTTGCAAGAGCTAGAGACTTGGGAGATTCTCTACTGTGGCTTTAGTAACTCTGCCCCAGCAAGCTTGCCTTACTTGGGGGCATTATGGCCCCCTTCAGCCAAATTTGGCAGCATGGGTGTCAGGGCTTGCTCTGCTGCAGGAAAAGTGAAGAATGCTGGGTGCGCCTTGGACGCTTGGGGAGACACGCTAAATTTCACTGTCTGCACAAGGCACTGCGAGAGCAGCGGGCAGGCCATGGAGGGGGTATTGGGTCTTCCACCCGCCCCACTCCAAAAGGAAAGATGGCCGGGCTTCTCCTCCTAGAAGCCCCCTACCCTTCTCCCTGCTCCTTACTGCCCACTCAATCCCACTTCAGGACAGAGGAGCATGTGTTGGAAACGTGTGTTGGGGTGACATCGGAGTATGCCGTCTGACCCTCTGGTGCTTGGCTCGCAACTCTCCATGCTCTTCCAGGCCTGGCTTGCTGAGGAGGGGAGAAGCAGCCCTGATCCCTCCACTGCCTCACTCCCATGGCCCCAGCCATAGCTGCCTGGCTTCCTCAAAGGCACGGCGTGTTTCAAAGGCAGCAGCTTACATTTGGAGGTGCTGAACAGCGTTGTGCTGCAAGAGCTGGGCCAGGCCTCTCCACCGTCTGACTACTAATGGGGCCGCTTCTGCCAGGCCAGCCACCGCCCCGTTGGGCTTTTGTGCTCTGTACTGATTATCCTTCTTGTAGTCCAAGTTGAACTTCCATATATGATGGTCATCACCAGACTGAGTCATAGATATTGCCTTCTGCCATCCTGCATGGCTTTGATCAATTGACATTTTCACTTAACTTAGAAAGTGTATATTGGTTGCCATATCTATGCCACGTGAAGCATTTGCTAATAACATTAAGAACATGTGCTTTGCTATATTTTGATAGAAACATAACCAAATTTCAGTTTTGTCCCAACATACTTGTGCTATTCTGTGGAAACAGCAGCAAACCACTCAAAATTCAGAGAGCTTAAAATATTTATGGAAATTATTTAATAATATCTGATTGGATTTCTTTTTCTTTCTTTTTCTGTTTCTCTTTTTCATTTAAATGATAGAAAATTGGCATCTCAAAGAGAGTATTCCATTGTTGGCACCAATTTGACACCATTTGGAGAAAGGTATTGGCCAAGATCTTAATGTGTGAGCAAATAGCTATGAATAGTGGTATTCCTTCTAATAACTGGGCTCAAAGCCCTGGAAGGAATGCTTACTTATTTCTATGCCAGAGATGAGCAGCAGGAGATGAAAGGAATAATCCAGCTTTTGGCAATATTTCTCTTGTTGCCCCATCTTTTCCTTTTCTTTTGTTCTTAAAAAGTCTAAATTTGAATCCTTAAACATCAATCAGAGGTTTCCCCCCCGCCTTTCTTTACACAAGATTATGACCAGTTTATTAATGGGAGCAGAGAAAAGGAAACAAACATTGGTAGTGAAATCAAAGAATTTCTGGGGGTTTAAATGTATGAACATTTGCTTTCCAACTGCCTGTTTTTATTTGGATTGCTCATTCTGAAGGTAGTTTCTCTCATCTTGCTAAACCTAGGTTTTCTTTAATTTTCTTTTTCCACTTCATTTTTAATAAGCCTTAAATTAGGACTACATTGGCACACCTTTTTTTTAACAAAGCTATCTGCAGAAATCACCTAAAATGTTCCTTCTCCCCACTTTCAAAATTAACACATTGTCCTGGAAGTTAGGACACATATCTTTTTATCAGGATACTAAAATATAGTGCATATGACACATATGGAAAAATCTAGTTTAAAAAGTCAGAATGAAAAAAGTGAAAATTAAAAAGTATTTAAAAATCTTTCAGCCTCATTCACAGTTGGTTTGATACGGGACCCACCAGGTACACGGAAAAAGATACAGAACAGTGAAGGAGACCATAACTTTATACCCTTGTTCATTTTCTTTTCAACTTTAAGCATCAATGCAATTTTCAATCCCAAACTAAGGACTTCTTTGGAGCCATAGCCTGGAGCAAAAATCCCAGGAAATTCTATGGCATCTGACGCCAAGGAGCAAAATTCTTATTTGGAAGACATGGCATCAATAATTGACATGAAGAAAAGAAAATTAATACATATTCAAAATGTCACACTAGAAAGAAAGTTTATAAAATATATCAGTGGTGAAACAAAATTTCCTGTATGATTAAAAATATTTTATTATATTTGTCCAACTAATGAGACAATGTTTCCTTCAACTGTTATATTTAAGACTCTCAATACATCAAGAATTCAGTATATTGAAGAATAGAATGTAGGCTGTTAATTTGTCTGTTATCGTATTAATGATTTTTTTTTTTCCTTTCTGAAAACTATTATCTGATAGTCATCTCTTTTGAACTCTGATGGACATTGCAGTGCAGGTAATCCTTGATTTATTATCACAACTGAGATCAGAATTTCTGTTGCTAAGCAGTTAAGTCAGTTGAACTCAATTTTACGACTTTTTGCCATGTTTGTTAAGTGAATCACTGCCGTTGAGTGAATCATGTGGTTGTTAAGTGAATCTGGCTTTCTTCCTTGCTTGTTGGAAGTTGGATGGGAGGGTCACAAATGGTGATCACATGACCCTGGCATGCTGCAGACTTTGCAAATACATGCCAGTTGCTGACCAACTGAATTTTGATAATGTGACCCTGAGGATTCTGTGATGATCATAAGTGTAAGGACAGTTGTAAGTCACTTTTTCTCACAACCAAAATCTATAGCAAAATGTAAGCTTAACAAACCTTGGAAAAATGCTTCACACCACTGTCTATGCAAATAAGGTAACTGTATAGTAGGCAGTCATAGGCATCATTTACATTTGGTTTCTTTTCCCCATCTCTTCTGATAATTCCCCAAAGTATTTTCTACTTTTGCCTGTCCCTTCAGGGGGAATCTCTTTCAGATTAAATTTTTTAAGGATATTTGATAATAAAATGATCAGCATGGAATAAAGGTCCATTTGCTCAATGTATATAATACAAAATCAATCCCTCAGGGAAATAAAACTGTTAGATCCATTTGGGCTCAAACTGTGTATGTTATACTAAAAATAAACTTAAAGTTCCTTCTGAATGTTCCTAGGGTACTTGCAACTCCCCCAGTTCATCCAAAAATTAGGATTACACATGGCATGGCTTTAATTCTTCTCTGTAAACCTTTAAAGACTTCTGTTGACGTAGACCAATGATAAATAACCTCTTTATCAATCAGTCTTAGCATTTATAGTTGCAGTTGTATGTATTAAATTATGAAGGGCAGTTGCAAAAGCAAAGCAATGATGCAAATTGTGACCATACGATACACCTGGTATAGCACCTTCCTCCCCCTGCCATGCTCCTGCAAAACTGTGGGTTTTATTTGCCTTTTAACATTTTTAAAACTATTTAGAGGCTCTTATTGTATGTTCTGTGTTTATTCTACATTAAAATAGTAAAAGGACCCTCAGATTACCCAACTCTGCTGTCATCCTCTCAGAACGTCTTTTTGCAACATCATCAAAGTCCTTTTTGAGGTCCATCATTTTGATTCAAGAAATTCATCCAAGCTGGAGTAGAAGTTCCCAAACCCTCATAAAATAGTTAAAACAACAACAACAAAGGAAATCCCTCCTCTGCCTCATTCATGGATAATTGTAATGTCACCACTAGCTGTGAAGCAACCTGACCACCTCTGGGTCTCTCTAAAGCAGTATGTGTGGACTCCAACCACCAGATGTTTCCTCTCTATACAAGTGATTATGAACATGAGTCTCCAGAAAGATTTTTTAGTGTATGAAATCTGTGAACCAGTGGCCCAACAATCTTGTAGTTTTTGCAACATGAAATTCACAGTAAAAAGTATCCCATCATCTAAAGCAGTGTTTATCAACCTTGGCAATTTTAAGATGCATGGATTTCAACTCACAGAATTTCCAACCAAGATGAATTGGTCCACACATTTTAAAGTTGCCGAAGTTGAGAAACCCCAATTAAAAAATTAAGTATCTACTAATTGGAAATGTGTTTCTGTTCTCCACAAGGATAGTATTTTTATTGCCTGAAAATTTAGTATCCATGAGGATAACAACGTGAAATTAAAATACGTTTAAATGCATGTGAAATGTAATTCTTTTAAAAAACCAATGTAAACTAGAATTTGAATAAATGCGTAGACTCACTGTAAATTGCCCTTCATCTAATTAGATATTTGTTTTACACTTTTCTAACTATGTGTTAAATACCTCCATCTGCAACAAGCAAAAGTGCCATCGTTCTTTCAAAAACCATAAATAATGACTATAATAATATCATTCAAAAAATAACTTTAGCCATCTGTTCCCAGGCCTCTAAATTCACATAATGACAACAGTTCCAGATTTGAGGATATGGAGAAAGAAATCCTGAGAGAATGAAGGCAAGAGAAAAAGAATGCATAGATAGAAAATAAACCATGATACCTCATAGTTTCAATGTGGAGAATAATTATGCATAAACTGTTATGCAACCTAATAGATAAGAATGTAGTGATCTCATAATGCAAGTGTAAGAACTGTAACACCCACTGTGTTGAACAGAAAGGCAGGTGATTAGCAGAGTGCATCCAGGAACACCATCTAGCACAGTGATGGGCTTCAAATAATTTTAACAACAGGTTCTCTGCCCTAATGACTGGCTAGGTGGGTGTGGCTGGCTGGCTGGCTGGCTGGGCATGGCCAGGGTGAGCGTGGCCAGGGGGGCGTGATAGCACTCAGCCTCCTACAGCACTCTGCCAGCCAAAATGGGGCATGGGAGTTAATTACAAAATGTGGGCTTTGCTTTGTGATCCAGCGAGTAAGGGGTGTGAACTGCAGAGAAAATATACTTTTTTTTGGTTATGAAGAAATATCTCCAGTCAGATGTACACTAAATGTAGACTGACTTTTAGCTACACACCTCCCCAGCAAACAGCAAAATTTGAAGCTCCAGGTAAAGAGGATTCATTTTAGAATGAGTAACCACAGTTTGCATGTTGGAGGTTCCTAAAGGAATGCTGGGAAACTCTGTATTTTAAAGAATATTTGAGGGAGGAGTGCAGAATAGCCTTTCTCTGCCTGAAGCTATAGAGACCCGGCACCAATCAAAACATATTTTGTAAAGCAACTGATCAACACTGACAGGGTAAGCCACTAGTATATGAAAATAAGAGCAAACTCCACTCCTTTCTAGTACTGATGATGTTACCTAGTTTGGTAATGAAACATCTGCAAAAAGACCATCAAGCTCAGAGAGCACCAAGGAACCCACAGTTCAACCCTGAGCTACAAATATTCTCTTCTATTCTCTTCTGAGTTATATGAGATGGTTCCTAGTGGATTTCATTCTAAATTTTGATATGATTTCTGTAAATAAGAAATGTAGAATTATAATGGCTGAGTATTTGATGCTTTATACATCAAAAAAATACAAAGCTAAGGGATAAACAAATAAAAACAGATTTGAACAAAAGAAAAGGCTCAGCAAAGAAAAAGAGTGAAAGTGTAAGAAAGAAAGAGGGGGGGAAAGGAAAACTGAAATAAAATGACTTCCAACTTTCTTTGGGACAGATATAAGTAAAAAAAATATCAAACTCTTACTCTAAGATCAACATTTGTCTACATTATTTCCATAATCCATTATTTAATCATCAAAGCCCAGATCAACTTTTATTTTCAGTTTTTCACAAAAAGTCCAGTAATGGTTCTTATCACTTTAATCACAGCCAGAAGTGGGATTAGCCAGTTCTCTGAACTGGTAAAAAACTTAAGAACCGGTTCGCCCAAATAGGTGTGAACCAGCTGCAGCCCACCTCTGATCTAGCAGTCAGAAGACTTCATGAAAACTCCTTTATCTCACAACACATAGACAACCACAGTTTCAAATGAGAAATTGTTAGCACCTTAGACCAGCTAAATCCAAAAAGCTAGAGAATTTCTGGAATCTTGGCATTCAGACAAAACAGCCATTAAGATAAAGATAAACCATATTCACAACTTTCAAAAGACACAATAAAAAAGCTAAGAAGGAAATAAAAAGACCAGAACACATTCTCTCCAGCAGCCAATACTGAGAATAGCAGGGATTAACACCAGGCAAGCAAGGCAAACAATAATACCCTAATCAAGGAGAAAACCACAAGCCCATCAGCACTCGCAGGAGAAGCTACTATATATAAACAGAGAACAAAACACAGACTCACTAGTACTGATGTTTTTGCTATAACACATTTTTGTTTCACTCTGAGAAGGCAACCCACCATATTACTTTATTCTTTATTGGACAATTTGTCCCAGAAAGAACTCTAAAAACTTGGAGTGTGTAGTGGAATGGTGCCGAAATAGTACTGCCATTAAGACTGCAGCAAACAAGCTAGGAAAAGCTTCCAACTCAAAGTCACAAGTGAGCAAATTTAACAGTAGTCCCATGACATGTGGAAGCTGCAAACCTTGAATCAACTGCCTGACAGGCAAGATTTGCTGAGACAAAGCCAAGGGGGAGGGGGGGTGAGGAGACACAGGAGGAGTCCAACCAGCATCTGCAAAACACCTGAAGTAAGCCAACTCCTTGCATTAGTCCAGGCAAAGTTTTCTCAAGCAATTCCAGGAAGAGAAGATTGCGAGTCCTACGGCAGAAAGAGGAAAAGCTTTTATGCTACAAATCTTTAGAGAGTGAATAAAAGAAACTTTCAGATGCAAATGGACCATGTTTGGCTTCAAGAGCTGAAAAGATGGAGAAATAAGGCAAATATATATATAGAAATAGGAAATAAGAGAAATAGGAAGACATAGAACCAGGACATAGCTATGGAGATGGAAATTGGTAGAGTCAATAAAGTCAAGTAGTTTTAGTAAATGTAGATCAATACAGTAAGATAACTTTGGATAGAGATAGGCCGTTGGGAAATAAATATACAAAGAGTTAGCATTAGCATTAAATATAAGAAGATACTTGCAAACCTTTCATTCTTTTATAATAAAATTATCTGTGGGGCAAAACTAAACCTAAATCTTGTGTATGTGATCTGTATGAGATTAAGAAAATCCTAGGCTCATATTTTTGCATGCTAATTGTATGCAGGAGTTAAGAGTTGTGCAGTGAAATTTTGAATCTTCACTTTTATTCAGAAATATACACAATTTCTAGAAAGGGAAGATGTCACTACTATGGAACAGACAGTGTTCCCTGACAGTATTTTTTCCCCAGACAAATGCAAAGATGCAAAGATCATACCTGTAAAGATCAGAATAATTGCAAGCCACGGTATTCCCTCTGATGTTCTATGGAAGTGAAAGTTAGGTTAGGAAAAGAATGGGATGCATTTGAACTTTGGTGTTGGAGAAGACTCCTGAGAATACTGTGAACAAACTGATCAATCAACTCAGAGTTCTTACTTGAGGCAAAAATTACCAGGCTCAAAGGATCCTACTAAGAAGGAGGAGGAGGAGGAGGAGGAGGAGGAGGAGGAGGAGGAGGAGGAGGAAAATGGAAAGTCTCTAATGTTAAGAAAGGTGGAAGAAAAGAGAAGACATAATTAGGTGCAAGATGGACTCAGTTATGATAAGTGCAATATGGGGAGACTTGAAAAAACAAGTTAGGAAGAGACAGGAGAAAATCTATGTGTTCACTAGAAATAAAACAAAAACAAAAACTTGATGGCACATAATAAAAAAAATGGCACAAGTTTAGATCCATTAGCACAGAACCTAACAGAAGTAAAAATGAAAGGTCTCCATAAAAAATGGAAATCCTTAAAAGGCACATTTATACTTTGAAAGGAAAGTCATCTTTATGGGTGTTATAGCTTTTCTTTCATACTAGAATAGATGGAAATTCATGAAATCAATAGTACTTACCTCTCAGACATTGCATTTACAACCAAAGTGGTAATATACTGTGGTTTATGATACCTACATCTCTTGACATCGATCAGTCTAAAATCATTTGACTAGGCCCAAAGTTTATTAACAGTTAATTTGTACGTATTTCTTCTCCATTCTTTATTATGTTTCTAAGATCCATATTTTCAAATGGTCATGAAAATTAACTTTAGTTTATCAAGTAAGAATTCTAAATTATTTGGATTGAAAATCTTGTTTAGATTCTATACAATATTTGGTTCTTGTGAGTAGGTTCTTTTGGGAAATGGTACAGACCAGCAATTGACAGACTTCCTTACATTTCTACAGAGACTTTTATTTTAAAAAAGCTTATCTTCCTAACTTCTACATTAAGACTTATTACTAAGCCTATGCTATCTTATACTATACCATATATCTATCTCAGTCCTAAACAATGCTGTTCTCTTTTGTGGCCTGAGTTTACACACCAAAGTTTTTAGCTGCCGTTTAGCCACCTTCCAGTTGGCTTCTGTTGCTATCAGCTGTTGTTCTAAACTATTGCTGAGACAGTGGCTTGAGTATCTCAGTCTGTACTGGGATGAGAAAAGGAAAGTGTTTTACCAGCAACTGGCTGGCTGGCTTTACCTTCTTAGCTTTTCTGCTGAACGGTGAAACTTCTGGGCTCTTTTTTAGCTTGTTTGCTGAAGTCCAAACCAGCTCTTCCTTTATCATGAGTTGTCTGTTGAGTTGACAGCTATTCCACACCCTTGGCTGCAAATTCTTCCTTTCTGATGTCCCATATGACACAAATCTTCTGGCAAATACACCCACACTCTGGTACTCTCAGCATTGTCCTTTTATGATTGCAAACCAGATGTAGTGCAATGGTCTTCGGGCTGCCTTAATGTCCCAGGGGAGCAAACCAAGGAAAGGAAGATCTTATGCTGGTACCTGCAAGGCTTTCCTTCCACTGTTGTAGATCTCTATATTGCCCACATAGTGGGGTTGATGATTGGATCACCTGTCTTTATTTATCTTCTTTATATTCCAGCAGGTTGCGAAAAGCACTGACAGAATTAGATTCTTTGATGTTGCTTACTTCTCAAAGTAAGTTTCATCAGTGTACTAAAATTTAGTAAATGAAAAGAAAGCTGTGTTCTTTAGGGATTTTTTTGTTGTTGTATGGTCTGTAAAGCATGTTTTATTTTAATATAAGATAAAAATACAGCTGAGCCCTCTGGATGTTTTATTCATCATTCAGTTTTGCATCACTGTGTATATTTTTAGAAAGTGAAAAATCTACAGTCTGCTATTAAAACAGTACCTAACAAAGAAGATCACTGTTTTAAACAGTTCCTATGGCAAAAGAGGAACGTTGTTATCTGCTGAACAAAATTACTGAATTTAAGAAACGATAGCATGAACAAGCATGTACCTTACTTAGTTAAATCTCAGCTTTATAATGTAATTGTAGCAAAAATTAGACTGATTTGCACAATATACCAGCTTCTTTTGAAATTGTAATAGGTTTGCTGCTGGGCACTAGACAATACATTAAAAATAGAGAGCGAAAATAAATCCCAGTGCTATAGGGTGCACTGATGCTTGTCCTGCTGAGCTTGTGAAATCTGATTTGGCCATTGGACATGTTCCCCTTGCTGCAATTTATGTGAAAGCCCAGTAAAAATAACTGGTGTGTTAGAAACCAAAACATGTACAAATCCTCAAATTTAACCTGAGTTTCCAAAGCAGGTGACACAAGCTGATAATTGTATGATGGAGCAGAGAAGGATAGAAAGGGAAAAAGACAACTCTAGTGAAAGCAGTAATTGTTTTAGGACACAAATAAAATCTTCTTTACAGAACACTTTACATATCTTTTCATATCTTTTTACAACAGATCTGCTATTGTAATCTATAATCTGGTGAATTTTTCTGAGTCCTAAACAATAGTACATATATCCTAAACAAGCATTCTATCACACATGCTTACAGTTGCCACTAAATTATTATTCTGACGATTATTGATCAATGATGTTCCACAGAATGGATAGAATGGCAGAAAAGGCCCTGTTCCTGGGTCTTAACAGATGATACTCTTTCATAGATGGGACCTATAAATACATACATACATACATACATATATACATACATACATATATACATACATACATACATACATACAACCCAGCGGGGGTTGGGGGATGAGGGGGTGGGATGGATACTTCCTGCAGCACCCCGCTGGCCAAAACGGGGTGTGGGGGTCCTCACATGACCGCTGTGCCTCATTTTCACCCTCCATGGCCTCCTGCAATACTCTGTTGGCTGTTTTCAGGCCTGTTTTCGGTCCGTTTTTTGGCCCATTTTAAGATTGTTTTTGGGCTCTTTGGGGGCCAGTTTGTGGCTGGCAGAATGCTGCAGGAGGCCATGGAGGGTGAAAACAAGGCACGGGGGCCCCACATGCAGCTCATTTTAGCTGCCAAAGACATTGTGGGCTGATCTTTTGATATTTCCAGGTTAGCCCCATGGGCTGGATTTAAGCACCCAGTGGGCCGAATGTGGCCCATGGACCTTGAGTTTGACACCTTGAGTATATTAGTGATATATACTAATAAATTAATACTAGAAAACACTATGATCCAATTACAGATGGGCAGAGTGGGGATGGGTGGAGAGAGGTGGGATCTATTGTTAATTGATCAACCACCTCCACTGTGATGCTCCCCTATTGGGACCTCAAACTAATTTCTAGGTCCTCTTCTTAGATAGGTCCATGGTCATCCAAAGCCATCTTGAGTCATTCCTAGTAGTAGCTCCCATTTATAACTGAGGAGCGTGCTGCGAAAGAGCCAGCTTTGGCAGTGAAACCAGTTGTCTGTCATTAGGGATAAAAAAGTCCTGCTGAGTCAGAACTCCATCTTGGGGACAATCAAACATCTTTTGGCTATGATCAAGCAAAGAATAGATTAATCCATATTAGTTTATTATAACTTGCTTTTTAACTAACTAATTCCAGGACTATTTCTACATAGTATGATCATTTTAGAGAAAACAGTATAAAACTGAAATAGTTTGATGATTTTGTTTTTAGTGAACACAAATACCATATAAGAAAAGTTGACAGAAAACTTGGAAAGCACATGTACTGCAACAGATTTTAATTCTGTTTCAGTTAACAGGATCAATTCAGCATTGCTCTGTAATACTGTTTTACACTAGATGTTCTACAAATTAAATTATTTGATACTTCATTCAACTTGACTGCCACTGATTTTGAAGTTTAAATCTTAAACGGAGTCTCCCGTTAAGTAAGATTCCCCAGTTCTTTCTTACTATTTGGAAGCAGCTCATCTGAAACAGGGGATACAATATAGTGGACCCGGTTTGTGGGGGCAATAAGCTGACTTTGTATAAAAAAGAACACTGCTGGGGGAGGGGGGGGCAAAAGCCCTACTAAGCAGGTATATACAAAAGTATGAAGGCTATTGCTTAACGCATTGTAAGCCGCCCTGAGTCTCCGGAAAAGGCAGCAGATAAATCGAACCAATAAATAAATAAATAGTTGTCTTTTGAAACTGAATCCTGAGCAGTGTCATTCAAAAACTTCTTCTTCTTCTTCCTAGCGTATTCCCGCAGGTGCAGGATCCGCTTTTCAGATCATTGAACGCCACTTTGCACAGTCAGCTGCGTCTCCAGGGCGCAGGCCCACGGTTTCAACCATCTTGGTTGATGGTGTCTTGCCACCTCTGTTTTGGATGCTCGCAAGTTCACCAGCAATTAATTCCTAGTTGGTAGGCAGTCTTGGCAATGGTGGAAGGTGCTACTCTCTGAACATGTCCATACCAGCGGAGCTGGACTTCTCTCATCTTCGAAAATTTCCAGTTTCCAATTGATAACTTTTTGCTTTTAATTATATTTTTTCCTTCAAAATAAAGATGGAAATAGGAGTGGTGGCTGAAGAAGGTTATCTGCTTCAATTTTAGCTGTTAGATCTTTAATTCTTCAATTGGCCAAAAGTCACAGCGTCAAAATTTGGACAAGTAGTAGTGGTATGATTTGGGCCCGCTGACTGGGAACATTAAGGGTGGATTTAGGGGAAATTTGCTTTCCAAAACATTTCTGCTCCCGTTTTTATCCTTATCCTTATATTCCCCCTCCAACCTGAAAACAAACAAACAATTTTGCTCCATCCTATGATGTCATCAGATTCCTGGTAATATCACATAGTAAAGGCTATCATCCTTGTAAGGGAGCAAGTGAGGAAACATACCATGAGAAATACTAAAAGGACTTTATTGATAATAGGCTATAATAACAGAACCTTGAAAGCCTAACAGGGTCTCTTTTTCTGCCTCTTATGTCAAACAGAGTAGAGGCAGAACAATTTTTTTCTTACACTTTCCTGCTTCCCCTACTGAGCTCATTTTCTTACTGATGGTTGCCACATATTTCCCTCAAAGTTCTCTACATAATCTTCTATAAGTAATCAGCAGCAGTCTCCAACCTGCATAAAAATATCCACCCTTAAAATAAACAAAGCATGGAAAGCATGCAGACAGGGGTTTTAGAAATTCTTCAGCCATTTGCTCAAGAGGGAAAGAGAAGAGGGATTTTAGAATGTTAAGGTCAGCAGCATCTTGAGTCGCTGTCCTATAACAATGTATTCAATTTTTTCCCCTGGATTTTTCCTCCTCTTAGTTCCCAATCATTTTGTGTACCAAGAGAATTCATGATTGCATTAGTTTATAAGAAGAAACACAATTCAGTTTTATAGTCCAAGTAGCTTATTTTCAGGATCCCAAGTGCTTGATAATTAATTTTTCACCTCCATCATCAACTATCTTCAAAGGAAATATAATGAACTGATAGACTGTGCCAGGATGAATCATGCTAGACATTAGATTTGGCAGATGTTCTTACTAGTTGATATCCTTACTCACAACTAGCAAATGCCAAGTTTTCTAATTCAGTGATGACATAATTTTAGTAATTGTTTACCAACAGAAAAGACATCTGTCAATAATTACATATGATGTCATCATTGTGCTTATTGATTATTTATGAAAAAGACTCTACTTCACAAGAGTGTTCCAGACAATCACTTTTTTTGGTTTTGGATATATGGATGAGACCCTATTAAAATTATTTTATAGGCCTGAGAGACTAATTTTCAAAATGCTTATTCTCTTTTTCTGCAAATTCACCAAGATGAGTGATCAAGGAACTTATTCATTTCAGCAGATGAGACTACAGGGACATTTTGTCCTTTCTTGATCTATAGTTTGCAGCAATTGAGTTCCCAATGCATACCTTACAGTGCTCAGGAGAAAAGGCTTAGTTGGATGAGGAAAAAATGAGGAATGAAATGCTGATTGAGTATTAAAGAAGAGAAAAAGAAAGAAGCTCTTATTTCTGCTTTTCTCCTAATGAGCTATGTAATTCCAGGGGACTGATGTTCTAGAACAGCGGTTCTCAACCTGGGGGTCGCGACCCCTTTGGGGGTCGAACGGCCATTTCACAGGGGTCGCCAAAGCCCTCTCTCGCCCCCCCCCACGCCTTCACTCACCCTCACTCTCTGCTCTGTTGGATCGCCAACCGTTCGCTTACCCCGCCCACTCCCAGTCTATTGCTGCCTCCTGAGTCCCAGCTGATGGCTAAAGGGAAAAAAACTGTTTAAATTCTTGCTGCGGGGCTTCAAAGGGCCGCCCTATAGCCAGTGGTGGGATTCTGCCGGTTCTAGGGGGTTCAGCCGAACCATTTGTTAAATTGCTGGCTTGCCCCGCCCCTCCGCACCACTATTTATTGCCAATAAATAGTGGTGGGCAAGGGGCGGGCGAGCCAGCAATTTAACAAATGGTTCGGTGTTTTTTTGTAATTTTATTCGCCCGCGGAGCTTCAGCATAGGCTAATTAGCCCTTGCTTAGATCGGCTCCCGACTCTCAGCTGATTTGCTCTCAGCTGTTTTGCTCAGGGCTCTGCTGCTTGTTTGCAAAGAGAGCTGGAGCAATTTTTTTCCCCCTAGCTATGCTGAAAAACGAAACAGAAAGTAAAGCAGGCTGTTGGCTTTGCTGTTGCTGCAACGTTAGAAAATTAGGCAGGCAGATTTCTTTTCTTTTTTCTCACCAAAAAAGGTAGGTGCAAACAATGGGAAATTTAGGGAAAAAGAGGAGAGTTCAAGATTTTAAAACACAAAAGAAAAAAAGCTCTATTTAACTAGGGAATTGTAATAATTGAGATACTATTAATTCTATATTGTGTTGAAAGCAGAAATGGTTAAGTTGTGGTTTGGAGGAATATATGGGGGAAATTATTTGGTTTATTATTATTGGTAAATATACTTAATTGATTTGTAAGAAATTGGATTGCATAGAAATAATTGGAATATTCATGTTCATATTGATTAATATACAAAAAAGGTAGGTATATAACTAATTGATTTATATTAAAATGTTGAATTTATATTAAACAACTGTAATATTACATAATTAACCAATGTGAGGATGGATATAAAAATAGATGACAATGGGAAGGGGTATAATATAGAATAGAAGGGAAAAATTGAATTTGATTAAGATTAGAGATGAGGATGAAGGGTAATATTGGTTTTTTACAAAAATAGATGAGGAATAAATATGGCAAAAAGGAAATATAGAAATTGTAAATTTAATTGAAATGACTAAACACTGTTTAAATTTGTGAACCGGCCAAATACTCTGTTCAAAGAAAATACATTGTATGTTTGTATGTGTGTTTCTAATTATTGTTATTTATTCATATTTGTTCTCTTTTATTCTTTAAAGTTTAACAATTCATTCTTTATCTTAATATCTTTATATTTGTTTGGGGTTGGCTTTCTTCCCTTTCATCTTTTTTATTGTACAGCAATCTTTCTCCTCAAACCTACCACCTCTCTCTTTTCTTTCCTTCTTACTTTCTCTTCCTCCCCCTCTTCTTCTCCTCCCTACTTCCTCTTCCTTTCTCCTTCTCCTCCTCTCTTCCTCCCTCTCTTACCCTCACTCCTACTCTAATTTACCTTCCCTTCCTTCATCCCTCTCTATTGCTGTATCCTTTTATGCATATGGACTACTCAGAGGGCTGAAAAAGTTATTTCTGACTGGTCCTCGCACTTTTGACCAGTCCTCAAACTTACGACTGTCCTCACATTTTACGTTTTTGCCCTATCTTGTCACCATGGTGAAGAGAAGCAGTTGTGAAATGAGTGACACGGTTGTTAAGAATGCTACAACGGGCATAAATGATGACCAGTCATAAGTGCGAAGACCGGTCAAAAGTGCGAGGACCTGTCAGAAATGACTTTTTTCAGACCTCTGTAGTCCCTATGCAGATAGCCACGCCCACCGGTCACATGACCACCAAGCCACACCCCCAACTAAGCCACACCCACAGAACCGGTTGTTAAAAAAATTGAATCCCACCACTGTGTAAATGGTATAACTAGATAACAGAGCAATATAATTAAAGAATAAATGAGTATATTTTTGGACTTCTTTTTTTATATAGTTTATTTATACATTTTCAATTAACATACTTACGTGCTTTGGGTCAATTGCTAACATAATTATATAACATATAATAACAATAATATTGTTAACAAAATAATAATAATAATAATAATAATAATAATAATAATAATAATAATAATAATAATAATAATAATAATAATAATAATAATATTTTCCAGGACCTGATTTCTATTTCTATTATCCAACCAGTTATAAAACAAATCCCATATTTGAAAACATTCTGTATCTTTCTTCTCTTTTATCTTTAATGTCTGTCTATCCATTTCTGTGCAATCTAATATCTTTTTAATTACATCTTCTTCTCTTGGAGTTTCCTTATTTTTCCAATACTGTGCAAATAGAATTCTTGCTGCTGTCAAGACATGCAATATTTAAATTTATGATATTTTTCTGGTACGTCCCTAACAAAAATATTTCTGGTTTATAAGCTATTTATTTATTTATTTAGCGTATGGTTGGTCACACACAGTATTAAAACACTTCATTTTTACAGATTAAAAACAATTAAAACAATAAAAAAACAGTAAGAAAACCTAAAAGGAAAACAGAAATAACATTTCAAAGTTTAATGTCGAGTTTGGAGATCCAGTCAGTAGCTGCCGTTGTTATGCAGAGGAAGTCCCTAGAATCTCCTGGATACCTTCTGTTAGGGCATTCCCTCATTATATGCTGGATAGTCTGTCGAGGGGCCCCACAATCACATAATTCTTTGCTTTCATACAAGTCCACCACATATGATAGTACATGCCTGGTGTCTGATTACATTTCCAGCATTTGGTGGACAAATTTTTAAACATCTTTGCTAATCTTGCCAGTGGTAAGTGCCACCTATAAAACATTGTATGAAGGTTTTCCTTATAGTTGCCATTATTAAGTTTCTCTCCCAGATTTTTTGCCAATAGCCTAAATTTATCATATATCCATTTTTTTTGTCCATGCTATCATTGTCTATTTTACCTGTTTATCTTCCATTTTTAAACTTAATGAATACTTACAGGTATATAGTTTCTTTATTAGCTTTTCATCTGTTTCTAACATTATTTGATCTAATGTTGTTTGCTCTTCATAAAAGCCATATGTCTTAACATCTTTCTCATATCTCAATTGTATTTGCATGTGTAGCCACCATGCTAAAACCACCCCTTGAATTTTTAACTCTTGTTTAGTTTTAAGTTCTCTTTCTGTATTCAAAATGTCTTTATACGTTAAAGTTTTTCCCAAGTTCACTACATTTGGATAACTAAATGCTTCCATAGTTGAGAGCCAAACTGGTAATTTTATATAGGTTTTTGTTTTCATCTTTTCCCATACTAAAAGTAAAGCATTTCTTATATAATGTCTTTGGAAGTATTTGTGAGTTTTATTTTTATCGTACCACAAAAAAGCATGCCAACCTAATTGGA